TTGACATCAAATTCCTTGAATAAGATTCAGAAAAAGATGAACGAGTTTCAGATTCCTTCTGATCTGGGTCAAATTCTAGGTAAAATTCATGAAGGAGAAGGATTTTCTAATTTTACGGCTGATCAGTGGTGAATATTTTCACTGTATATGCCACTGTTTCACTTTGGGAACATCTTCTGATTGTAGATAGAAAAATTCTTACACATTTCGTAAGGATTTGTACAATTTTAGTAAGTCAGATTGTAGAATTAGATCTATTATATGAAGCACATCGAAGACTAATTGAGATGGTGAAGTTGATTGAAAATAATCACGGACGTAACAAAATCATGCCAAATTTTCACCTTTATCTCTATTTGTATGATTACTCAAGAGACTATGATCTGTTATATGCGTTTTGGTATTTTTCTCTTGAACGCATGAATGGAATATTAGGTATTTTTTTTTTTGAGAATTTCTTGAATAAATCAGCTTACTAATTTATGAACGATTTTTAGGTTCTTTACCGAATAGTAATAGAAAAATTGAACCTAAGCTAATATATCGATTGATGTTTGATGTTTAAATCGACAGTATTACAAGTTCTAGTGGTATTGAGGTAAAAAAGCTTGAATTGCTAGATAATCAGCCTTTAATTAGTTCTCTTTCGAATACAGATGAATTTTCTTTTGACGAAATCCATTGATTTTGGATGAATTTACGAAATATTAAGGAATCAAATGTTACTAGTAATGAACATTTCCCAGCGAATTCCTTAAACCATTATCTGATAATATAATTATTTCAAACGAAATGCTTGATTTGATGGTTGAATACTATAATGTGACTTATACCACGTTTGATTTTAGGAAACTATTAGATAAGGATTCGGAAGATGGTATAATGATTCAGATTAAAATGAATCAATTCGGAAGGTGTTGAATTGGTTCTGAAATCTTCAGATCGTCAACGTCTTTGTGACATGTAAAAAATTCGTGTATTTTGGTCAAATTTATTATAATGATGGTACAGTCGATTGTTATCCTGGCCAAGTCCAATATTATTTTACACATAAGGTCGATTTGCCATCTGGAAAGGCTGAACATTTTCTAGCATTTGTTCATTAGTATAAACCTGCAAGTTCTTCAAATATGCGGTATTATTTTAGCAAAGAAGAAACTTGTAATGTCGAATTATGGAATACTGAATTTTATCCAGAAAGTCGTGATTGTATAATACTAGTTCATCATATACTGGTTCAATAATAAGGTATCATACAGATATCAACCACCTAAAAATACCCTGATGTGTCTTACATTTTATTCAGATAACTTATTGAATGATAGATTTTTTATATTCCTGATAATTCTCTTAATTATGGCAGAAATAGTTAATAATAAGCTACATAAAATTAACATATTGGGTTATTAAATATTATACTAATATTATACTTTCATCGGAGTTCCGATACTCCAATAATACCTTGATTATTATTAAATGTTCATTAATTAAACATCATGCATTGATAAAGGAATTTTAGGTAAAATGTCGTAATTCAGTAATATTATAGTATTCCGATGCCTCAATAATATATTTATGATTAATAAATTGATGTTTAAATATTTTACACAATATTCGTTACAGAATTTATAATATATTTTATATATTATTGTAATATTTATTATAATATCAAATTTATTCGCATTATATTTCACATATCATACATATTTATTCCGCATATTAAATATATTTATTTATTATACACTAATTAAAATTCGATCTAATCATTTATGACTTTTGGCTGCCACTTCCTTTCCCTTTCTTCTCTCTCCCAACTAAAGATGATATCATCTATATGGGAACTTCAGGTGGTAGTCTTGTATCGTCTTTAAATGCATTATCATTATACCATCATTTTCTTTGAACTTTTATACGTTGTATATTTTCACTAACTTTATCTGCATATCAAAGAAGTTTTTTAACCTATAATACAATAAACAAAGTACTATAAATAAAAATAAATAAATATCCAAAATATATGTCGTATACTTTTTGAGATCTCCATGGCTTATTGTACACATGGATCACATGCATATCCAATTCATTTTTATTTTTTAGACAAATATGTTAGGTGATCTCCTCCTGTGCCTTTTCGTCATCTGTTTAAGATATTTCATCTGAATGGAACAGCCCTTCATTGACTATTTTCTCAATATCTTTTTTATACTAATTTTCGTGTACAGATCTAGGACGTACTTCTAATAGAATTGGATCGTTAGTATTATATATATGCTCAATTCTGCGCTTTCATCTTTCTTTTTTCTTAAAGAAATTAAAATAATTAAAGCAGTAATAATAAATATAAAGATCTATTAATAATCTGATATATCCATTAATACTTACATCAGAACGTCTCGAATTTGTGCCTTTTCATTTTTTATCAAATTTCAACCTATTGACACTTTGAGAAATCTGCCAGGATTCTTTTCTGTGTCAATGTAATTGTTGTAAGACATATTTAAATTCAACCTGATTATACCTGATTCTTTAGTTTATTGTTCTATCGATAGCTAGCATTATGTTCTTATAGACATGACGTGAAATTTCATTCCATGACTTCATATGGTCAAGTAATAATGAGTCGTCAAGATCAGAAAGGATTTGGACAACTTTATCCTAAATTTATAAAATTATTAATAGTAAAAAATCATTAGTTCTAGCTTATTTAAATCCAGATCAAAATTACTTATCATATACCCTAAAAGTCTTATAATGTTCATCAGTCATATCCAAGAGCACTTTACGTGATTTTAGATATCTTCCATGTGGTTCTGAAGAGTATTCTTTATATGATTCCAGAGAGTGCTCTCTACGTGATTCTAGAGAATATTCTCAAACTTCTGATCATTGTCTTTTTAGATCTTGGACTTCTTCAATCAAGTAATTTAATGTCGATTGGATTGAACTAATCACTATTGTAAAATAATTAATTGATAAAAATAGAATTTGATTTTATTGTTTAATATATTCGATTAATTGATTACCATTTTTTTCTAAATCTTGTCTAGTACTCTTATTGGGACTTCTTTCGAAACTTTTTACGTTACTGTTATCTCTTTTGAGAGTTTTTGTTGCCAGAGTTATGTCAATACTATCATTTGAACTTTTACTTGAACTTCTTTCAATACTTCTTACGTTTTTGTTATCTCTTTTGAGAGTTTTTATTGCCAGAGTTATGTCAATACTATCACTCAAACTTTACTTGAACTTCTTTCGATACTTCTTACGTTTCTGTTATTTCTTTCAAGAGATTTTGCTATCATAGTTATGTCAATACTATTACTCAAATTTTTACTTGAACTTCTTTCGATACTTCTTACATTTCTGTTATCTCTTTCAAGAGTTTTTGTTGCCGGAGTTATGTCAATACTATTACTCAAACTTTTACTTGAACTTTTTTCGATACTTCTTACATTTCTGTTATCTCTTTCAAGAGTTTTTGTTGTCATAGTTATATTTATACTATCACTTGAACTTTACTTGAACTTCTTTTGATACTTCTTACGTTTCTATTATCTCTTTCGAGAGTTTTTGCTGTTATAGTTATGTCAATACTCTCATTCAGATTCTTACCTGAACTTCTTTTGATACTTCTTACATTTCTGTTGCTTCTTTTGGGAGTTTTTGTTGCCGGAGTTATATCAATACTATCACTTGAACTTTTACTTGAACTTCTTTCAATACTTCTTACATTTCTGTTGCTTCTTTTGGGAGTTTTTGTTGCCGGAGTTATGTCAATACTATCACTCGAACTTTTACTTGAACTTCTTTCGTTCCTATTGCTTCTTTCTCTATTGTTTACGGTTACGTCTCTAAAACTTCTGCCATAACATTCGTAACTTTATTCCAGATACTTGGATTTCTTTCACATATATTATTTCTGGGACTTTGACTTTCACTAGTAGTTCTTTCAACCTTTCTTTTAGATGTGCTTCGCCTAGTACTTCTTTTGTTGCTTTCATGATAACTTTGATGATCATTATGCTCACAAGACCTTGAACGTCTTCTAAAAGTTAAAGCGATCCTAAAGGGTTTTTGATCATGCATAGTATTGAAAAGGTAAAGTATTGATAAAAAAGAATAAGTGAATTAGAATTAAAATCTAGAAATGAAAGAAAAAAAAATAATTAGAATTAAAATCAATCAGGAAAAAGTCATTCTTTTATATCAAAAAAAAAATCAGCCTTATGCAATCTTTTACCTTTCTTTAATTTGTAAGCTTAATCATGATTTAATATTTCTGCGCCAAATTGAAATAATTACTATGCTCAATATTAAAATTAGTCGTGATTAATGACATTGATTGATTTCATCTTTAATGGTCAGTATTTTAAGTATCATATATTTAAGTTGGACTGGGTCCAACATTTTAAGTATCAGTTATAATTAAGTTAATATTTTTTTTTTGCTTTATAATTGCTATCGTTTCTTCTTCAAAATTGTATGTAAAAATAAATTTTCAAAGTTGTAAATAAGTCTATCATAAAAAGAAACAATAAACGTATGGAGAGAAATTTAAATTTTATAGGCCTATATAAATCCTTTATATATCATTAATAATTATTATTGTATTATTTATTGTATCAGTTAATAATTACTATTGCTTAAATTATGTAATGTCGAGTAGTTAGCCGTAAAATAATTAGCCACATGTGGAATTCCATAAGATATTAGCGGTTAAACTGGATTTAGGTGATCAACAATCAGGGATGCAGCTATTTCGAATAATCACTAAATATTAAACTTTATTATATTGATTTTAAGGTTTTATGAGGGATTTTTTCAAATAATACATATCATTATACTTTTAACGTTAAACTTTATTACATTGATTTTATACTTTAATATATAACGTATCTGGATTTTTTTAAAAATTTCTTATTAAATCTTTCTTTTTCAATACGATATCTTTATTATGACGTGCAAATCAAAAAAAAATCTTTTGTAAAAGCAAATAAGACCGCATCTGCATGCCGAGAAGGTTTTTCGAAACATTATAAATATACTAAAATAGGAGTATAAATAATACAAGAAAATATAAGCCGTGCCATTGTAATATATGTAAAGGTCATAAAGTTGATCCACGTATAAGAAAATTACATACGAAAGAAAAGGAATTTGGATCAAGAGGATTTGTTGAATCTTCCAGGATAGTATCACCTTTTGGAATAACAGAAGATATTTTAGGCGATCATATGAATATAGACGTAGATATTATAAATGATAATCTTGTCAGCTAAGAATTTAATTTTCTTGTTACGGGCCCAAAATTATCTGATGATCCTGCCAGTGACTAAGAATTTAATTTTTTTATTACGAGCTCAAAATCATCTAAAGGAAAGCAAAAACAATTAGGTGGTCATATTAGTTTCCCAACGGCCATAATTGAACAGCTTCTTGATGATGATCATGATGTTAATGAATCTGATATTGACGAATATGATATTGATGAGGGTAGTGAAGAAGAAGAATATAGTGATGATGATGAAAATAATGTCGAACCAGTCAATTTTGATGCGCCAGAATCTGGTTATGAAGATAAAGATGCAGAAATATCATTTATGAATATTGATCAGGGATTCGTATGGATCGTGTATTAGATTTTTAAATATCAAGAGAGATATCGGCTATCTGATACTACTACTAATTCTCTTATAAAGTTTATGAGATATCTATTACTCTTAGTTGATAGAAATATCTATTCAAAATTTCCAAAATCTTTACATATAGCACGGAAATTATTTGGTATCAGCGATCACATGATCAAGTACGCAACTTATAAAAAATGCTGTAAAATATACGCGGTAAAAGATTTGACAACTGATAAACCATACTATTGTACATTCAAGGACTTCCTGAATCATCCGATGACCAAGTTGAGATTCCTATATAATAATATTATTACAAAGCAAGTTCTTACACAAAAGACAATAATATACTGGCCTTTACTCATTTTTCCTGTTACTAATATAAAAAATCGGTTACATCAATTGTACAAATTGAAAGAATTCGAAAAATCCTGTAGAATGTGAAGAACTAGACCTGATATTTGCCAGGAGTTATCAAATATATATGATGGAAGAATTTGGAAAACTTTTAAAGATTAAAATAATAATCAATTGTTTTTTCAGCATGAAGTAGCGGATAGTCACCTAGGAATTATGTTGAACCTTGATTGGTTCTAACCATACGACAATTTCCAATACAGTGTAAAAGTGATGTATGGAGTAATATGTAATCTACCATGAAGCCAAAGGTTTAAACCAAGTAATATTATTACTTTAGCAATAATTTCCAGCCCAAATGAACCGAAATTGTATCAATTAAACCATTATTTAGGTCCTGTGATTGATTAATTCATTAAGTTATAGGAAGGAATAGAACTTTGCACATATGAAAATCCTATTGGAAAATTTATACGAGCAGCGATTATATGTTATGCATGTGATATATCGGCTATCAGAAATCTTTGTAAGCATATATCAGCTCGTGTTACATACTATCAGTGTAAAAAGGTGGCCAATTTTGATATTAGAAATCAACCAAACTTTGGTGGCTTTGACGATATAGATCAATGGTTTGTGCTGAGAGATATTGAAGAAATAAAAAACAATGCCTTTTTATAGAAGGATTGCAATACCGAAAATGCACGAAAAAAGCATGTTTCTCAAACTTTAGTACGTTGGTCAGAAGTATATCGGCTCCCGTATTTTGACCCAATCAATTCCTTATAGTTGATCCTATGCACTGTTTGTTTTTGGGTATTACCAAATGGATCGTAACTCGTTTGTGAATTGAAGAAGGTAGATTAATGTCAAAAAATCTAGAAATAATGCAAGAACGGGCTAACAAGTTAAAATTACCATCAGATATTGGAAGGATACTGAATAAAATAGCAATTTGTGAAGGCTTTTCAGGGTTTATCGCAGACCAATGGAGAACTTTCATCCTTGTATATGCTACTATGATTACTTGGGATTTTCTTCAAAAAGATGACAGGGAAATATTGAGTTATTTTGTAAAAGCATGCAATATCATTGTATGCTGAATTATTTCTAAATCGGCATTAAATGAGGCACATAACTGTCTTTTATCGATGGTAAAGATTGTTGAAAAGAGTTATGGCCCAGAAAAAATAATACAGAATTTATATTTATGTTTACATATTTGTAAATTTGAGCTCGATTATAGACCGTTATACTCATTCTAATGTTATAGTTTCGAACGAATGAATGGTCTATTAGGTAATAAATTTCTAATTAAAATGTTTCGATATTTTTATAATTTTTTGATATTTAATTATAATTTTTTACAGGCTCTTTTCATAATAGTAACCGATATATTGAGCTGGAATTACTCAAAATTATTCAAAATCATTCACGTCTTGACGAGTTATCATTATTTGTCAATGAAAATCAACACCTTTAGAATGTTTGCCTTATATTGCTCTTAAGGAAACAGTCAGTAGCCTCACAGCTAATGAAGATTTTGATTTGATGAAATATTCAGAATTTTTAATAATATCAAAAAATGTAAAGGAGAAAGCAGAAACAGGATCGGAGCCTTTTCTGGATACACTTCTTAAACTAATGAAGAGTGTGAAATTGTCATTGGAAATATTAGCATTATTGGTAGAATATTACAATAATGCCTATAGTAATTCTTTTGTATTCTTATTGGATATCTATAATTTGTTATCAGAAACAATAGCAGTTTTCCTACAAATTAATCAATTTGATAGATTAAGACTTAGAGCGGAAGTATATGGATCAACGTATGCAAAAAGACATATCAGATCAGCAAATGTATTATCTAAATTTGTTTTAGATGATAATATGACTGATACCTATTTGGGTCAAATACAATTTTTTTTGAGCATATTATTTATTTACCGGAAGGTTCCATAACATATAGTTTAGCTTTTGTAAGGTGGTATTCACAAGCCGACCATTCTAGGACAAGGTTTCACTGTAATATAAATGATGATAATAAATCTAGCAATATCGAATTATGGAAATCTGAATTTTATGAAATAGGAAGAGATTGTATCATTCCTATA